ATCTTCAAGGCAGAGGGCCTGGTAGAACCATAAGCCAGAGACCCATAGTTCAGCTTGGAATGTAGGAGGGCACGACAGATCAACGTAGAACATTGATCTGCTTCCCAAGAGGCGTAAGAGGGCCACTCAATAATTTTCATGTTTGAAAATCAACAAAAAATATGGAAGACACTGACATAGAGGCCGTTTGCAACAGTAGGAGGAAGTTGTTTAGTGATAGCGCTAATCTTGACACTCAAGACACAACCTTGAGGGACTCCAAGTTCCTGTGTGAAAGAATGGGAAATGGTCTAACTCTCATGGACTTGGAATCGCCTATCAAGTAAAACATTATGAATAAAACTGGGCAAATGGCCACACAATACATATGAATGGAGGTCCTGCAAAATGACAAACCAGAATTGTGTTATAAGCCTTCTCAAGATCAAAGAAGACAGAAACAAGATGTTCTCTCTTGAGGAAGGCTTCCCTGATCGAGGTTTCAAATTGAATCAGGTGGTCTACGGTGGAGCGCTGTCAACAAAAACCACATTGGGTGGGTGAGAGGAGATTGTTCGATTCAAGGAACCAAACAAGATGAGCAGTAACCATCCTCTCCAGAACCTTACAGCTAGTCAAAGCAATTGGATGATAATTACAAGGAATCTTGGTATCCTTCCCAGGCTTTGAAAAAGATAGAACAATAACCATTCACCAAATATTAGGAAAAATATTCTCCTGCCAAATCTGGTTAAAGAGAACCAGAGGAAGAGCAAAAGAGGCAAGAGAGAGATGGCACAGCATCTCATAGCGGATATCATGAGGCCCAACTGATGAAGAGCAAGCTTAAGTTCCACTAGTGTAAAAGGGGGTGATTATAGTCAGAGAGACAATCAGCTCAAAAGGAAAGCAGCAATTAGTCTGCCTGAGACTTGATGGCCAAGAAGGCAGGAAAAGAAAGAGTGCTGGAAAGATAAGAAAAGCACTCCCTGAAAGTATCGGCAATACTCTGTACATCAGCAACTTCTTAGCCATTGGAGAGCAAGATGGAAAGCGGATGGAAAACATACTTCCCATTGACCTTCCGAAACTTGTCCAAGATGATTTTGTAACTGGTGGTAGAAGAGATGCTGGATGTGAACTTAATACAAGATTCCTTCTGGCTTTGATGTCTGACCTGCCAAGCATGGGCATGGGCCTGCTAAAAAACAATGCAGATGAAAGGAGTGGGATACCTGCAAAAGGCAGGAGACCACCATGATCTAGGATACCATGGGAAGTGTTTGAGGTTTTAGGAATAGAATGAACAGCTGCTTCAATGATATAATCAGTTACTGCTTCCATGCAGTTGTTAATAAATGGAAGACTAACGACAGCAGGATGGAGTTCTGAGAGATGAGTGAAAGAGTCAGCCTGCTCCAACTTCCTCAATGGCAATCAGTTCGGGTGGCATTGACCAAAACCACTCTCCCTCAAAACAATGAGAAAATGATCGATGTTAACTCTACAAGAAAAACTAGAAAAAAATGAAGGGCAGAGGATGGAGACTCCATTGACTGAGTGCATGACCAAATAATGGTCCTGCACCTCAGGGCTGAAGGAGATGGACCCGAGGAATCACTAGATGCAATGGTGGGGACAGCAACCACGGAGAGCAAAAGACTCTTCACATGGTGTGAGAAAGACTCTGATGGAGGCATGCATAGATTTGTCTACACTCCCACTGTGGCAGTGGAATAGAGAGCAGCAGAATATGTCAGAGATGGAACAAGGGACAACAACTTCAGATCCTCAGGGTAAGAAATGTTGTTGACAGTATGTAAACATTGTACCTCTTTCTCCTCCACCCACTTAGGGCAAGATAGAAAGTAAGAAGGGTGGAAACCACGACAATTGACACAGTGAGGGTCCAGTTGACACTCACAGGCATCATGGTCTTTGCCACCACATAGACAGATCAAAGAACCACAAAAAGATGCCTTAAAATGACTGAACTGCTGACATTGTAACATTTAAGAGGATTAAGGATAAATAGCCATACATGACAGTTCAGATAACCTACCTTGACAGAGGCAGTCGGACCTGGTGATGTAAACTTCAATACAAGAACACTGGTAGGCAGCATAATTTTCTCTTTAGGAGTGGAAATGCATCACACAGCAAAAACTCTTTGGTTGAAGAAACCGGCAAGGATCTCTGATTTGGGTATGTTTCAAAAATCCCTCTCAACAATCACTCCTCGGGAGGAATTAAAAGTAGAATGGGGAGTAACCTCAATGGGTATATCCCCAATGGCCTTTGACCTCAGGAGAAGTTTGCCGTGTTTCAGTGTAGATGTTTCTTCCAAGATGTCCCCAGAACGTAGCTTTTTAACTGACTATGGAGAGCCAGCAAGCCCCTATAATCCCTTTTGATTAAAAAAGGGAGACAATTGCCCTAAAGGTTTGTCAAACAAAGAATGCACAATGAAAAAAACGAGGTACAGGTTAAGAATGGAGAGGAGACTGCTAATCAGTCTTCTAAATGTGGTTGCTTACCAATTAGCTGTTTTTTTATTTGTTTATTTTTTTCAAGGATTGGGGAATCCATAATAAAAGTAGAATTATTCAGAGCCCACTGACCCCACTCACCATGGAGTCCTGTGATGGGATGCACTACAATGCCAAATAAGGACACTGTAGCAACAACAGGGATTTGTGAGCACTATACCCAAACACTAGCATCAGACACAATGTCCAAAACATCCACTGAGAACACCCAACACTGGTACTCAGTTGACCCTAGCCCAATAGGACCAGCTGATTTACCCTGGGGAATCCACCCCAAGGTCACCCGTCTACAGGAATTCAAGGCCAAAGTGGTGTGTTGCAGTACCCCAGACACCATTAAACCACCAGGATCCTCTCTTCCCCTTCATGGGATGCCATGCATGGCAAACACGTGGGTGGATGTTCAGATCCCAGAGGAGGTAAACTGAAAACATAGAACCTTCCCTGGAAGGTCCCCTCACTACATAAAGGAATCCACATCAAGGAGCCTTGAAAAAAGGAACAATATCAGGCAACTTCCAATCTTCTGGCACCTGCCCACTATTCAAAAATTTAGAAAAAGTAACAAGTGGCTTACATATCCATTCCTTAACCTCTTTCAAAATATTGGGTACCTTCCAAAATTTTCAGATATTAAACCTTGGATCCAATGTAAAAAAAATAATAAAACTAAAAACTGTGAGGAAAAAGTTCCAAATTCAAACCAACTTCATCTGAACATATAACATTTTTGGATTTTATAACAAATTGCGGTATTGAGTGTTTATAGTCACAATAAGAACCTGGTTTAAGGAATTGTCTTTGTTGAGCTAGACAGTCCCATAATGGGTTGTGGTATCTTTTGAGTATTTATATTCACTCAGAGGACTTGGTTTTATGAACCTGTCTTTGTTGAGCTAGATGGACCAATGATATTTATTTGAATATACATAGAAAAACTGATAAAAATTTCACATCTGTTTAATAAGGAAGCACACTGTTGTATGAAGATGTTAAAATTAATGATGAAATGACAAGCAAGACTTTAACCTAGTTTGAATAACTTTATAGTACAGGAAAATTCCGTTAATCTACATACATATTTACTTCAAGATGAATTTGTGTTTGACTGGTTGTTATTATATATACCACAGCCTCTGGATGGTCTATTATGTCCATAAGTGTTACAAACTGTTAGATTTTATTTATATCATTTTGTAGGGAAGCATTCTTTTCAATTAAGATAAGCCCAGGAATGTTATTAAAATTTCTCCAATTTTAAAACAAAACAAACATAACTATTTTAGTAAGTCCTTTCTAAAACAGGTAAGATTTTGATTATTTCAATTTTCAGCTATACTTGAATGTGTGTAAACATAACTACATTTAGTGATTGTTAGATGTCTTTAGACTGGACACTGAAGATAGTTTGAAAAGAGTGGAGCAGTCAATCAGAAAACGTTTTGCCTCTAGATCAAACTCTACTCCTCTCCAATTGTATCTTCAACAGCCAATAAGAGCTAACCATGTATTTAATAGGAGTATCTTGTTTCTAGATCAAACTCTACTCCTCTCCAATTGTATCTTCAACAGCCAATAAGAGCTAATCATGTATTTAATAGGAGTATCTTGTTTCTAGATCAAACCCTACCCCTGCCAAACTACAGCCAATTAGAACTGATAATATATATATATATATATATATATATATATATTTAATGGAAACATCTTGTTTTTAGAATGAACTCTACTCCTCTCAAACTATATCTCTGTCAACTAATCAAATATCTCCAAAACTAAATGCACATAGTACACATTTTTCTGTGTGTTCTGACAAATCAGTGACATTATTCATAGTTTCCAAAATAAAGAATCTTTAACATTATAACAAAAGTAATAAAGACCAATCAACAATTCCAGTAAAAGTACAAAGTACTAGAATTGTTGACTGGTCTTCATTCTGCATTAGGTCACATTTCTTTATTAATATAGGTATGTTTTGGCCTAGCACCATAATAATTAATGAAAAATTAATCTTAGGTTATCTTTTCTAAAATTACTTAAAACTGTTAAGAAAAGCAACTTCAACCACGCTGGCCATATGTTGGTTATGGAAGGGTTTACAACATAAGTTCAATGTATTCAATTACTTATTGAGTTCATACTCCAATTCTTTATTTATTGGAACTACCTTTTTATTATTTGAAGCACACTCCACTTACCCAAATATATGAAAAGAAACCAACCTAGAACAACTAAAATTGGAGACTTGTTCCTTAAGCCTGTTATGTTCATCTGATTACATGTATGTTCAGTAGGGTTTATATTGCTCACTTTGAAGTCATTTCGTACTGAATCTTTATTTTTGTGGGGAACAAAAGGAATTGCTGCAGAGTCAAAAAAAGTATGGCTACAGCTCTGGTATATGAAACGGTGAAGTTTCTAAGAATAGGGGGATTTCTTGAGAAATTTTTACAGAAAGGCAACACTTACCACGTGAAATTACCTGCTGCTATGAGAGCTCCACTCCTGGAAACACGCTGAATGTCTACACTCCCATGTTGTGACATCATCTGTGCCAACTGAAAAACAATACACTCAAGTTATTGGTGATATAAGAACATTTTTAGATAACTTTGGAATATTAGGACCACATCTTCATTTGGTATAAAAAATAATAATAAATAAATCCCTATTAATTTTTACAATTATTAAAATCATGTGAAAGTCTCAGTAAATTTTGTTTACACAATAAGACACGAACATAAAAGCAGAAGAGTCTTTTGTGCTAAAAATGTGTGTGTGTGTGTGTGTGTGTGTATATATATATATATATATATATATA